GGTTCCTTTGTTGGGGAATTATAAATGGTAGGGACTTAGCTGTTCCTTCATGTTTTCAGGGGTCTTGAATTTGCTCATCTGTTGAGATGGATTCCTCTTCTTTAGGTGTATAGTTATTTTTTTTTATGTGTGTGTGTGTGTGTGTGGTAAATTCTGTGTTCTTTGTATCTTTTAGCTTTAACCTCTAAGCTCCATGTAATCTGAGTATTGAGTCTCCAATGCTACTCAGTTTAAATCAATTATTCTCCAGTGCCACTAAGTTTTCTAATGTTGAACAACTGATTTAATTTATTCTTAGAGAGCTTCTGCAATCCTCTGGGTTTTTCTAAGCTATTTGCCACCTGCAAATTACTTCTACCTCAACTTTGTGACTTCTTTTTTTTTTTTTTTTTCGCTGTATGAGTAGATATCCAGGAGTGGGAACTGAGGTCTTCTCATAGCTCTTTATACTTGGGACCTGGTTTTGGTTTGGAGTTTTTATCTCCCCTATTCTTTGTGTTGAAGTATTGTTGGATCTCAAATGGGACTAGTTTGTGCATGGAGTGAGGTTCACTGATATTTGGCTGAGTTTTAGCTCTGCAGTAGGATCTCTACCCTGTGAACTTGTAATTTCTCAATCACTGCTCAGACCCTTTTAGAAAAAGGAGGGGCAAGCAGTAGCAACAACGGTAATGACTAATACACAGCCTTAAAATAAATATCTGGTGCCTACTTTGATGTCTATAACACTGATTGCCACATTGAAAGGAATGGTGTTGTCAGCATTTAACATCAGTATCAGTAACAAATACCTGTGAACTACATTTTCTCCTTTAACAACAGCTGTAAACTGTATCCTCCATCATACTAATAATTACAACAACATGAATGGTGGAGGCAAGAATTCTACAGACAGTTTGTAGAATAGCTGGCAGACAGTTAAGTTACAGTTACTTAAGTGAAGAGAAAATGAAGTAGGCAGGCATGAGAAAGTTTAAAAATATTTAAAAGTGAACAGAGAGGAAGCAACGGAACAATTACAGATAATTCTACAAAGAATGAAGAATGAAAATAACTAAAAATAATAATATAAAGAGGAAGAGGAAACAAAAGAATTTGGCTATTAGAGGAGAAAGAAAGTGAAGAGGACATAATGAGAGGAACAAAAACAGATAAACAAAAAATCAAACCAAAATGAACCCACAAAGAATCTGCCCTTCCAAAGTTAAAAAAAAAGGCTAAATAATAAAGAGGTAATTAAAATATGATTAAAGTGAAAGAAAAATTATCAAACAGATTAGTGCAGTGATAACACATAGAGTAAAAAAAACAAGTAAAAGAGACAGAGATGGAGAAAAACCTAGAGAAAAAATTCTCAATGAAAAATGAAGGGCTTGTCTGCACTGAGATGGTTAAAAACTGTTTTGCAAGGATGCATGTCACTGCCTATGCTGTTTCATCCTTCTGTGCATTTCTTCGTGGACTATGAATCCCTGGATCAAGGACTGACCTCTTTATGTTTCTCACCAAGATGCCAGGCTGTGTGGCCTGGAACTGGCATATGTTGTAGTAGCTCTCTGCTTCCTATCTTATGGTGTAGGGTAGTACAGGTTGGGGAGTACTGACAGTTGGAGTTTTGTCTGGATGGGAAGGTCCATGCTGTCCCAGGGCTGATGCAGAGTTCTAAATGGAAACTTCCAGCAGCTGAGTTTATTCTGACTGTTCTTTTAAGTTCATTGGGAGGTATTTATTCCAGAGAGATTAGGTCCATACTCCTGTTGCTGTGCAAATGCCAATCTCTGCTGGGTGTCTGGGTCTCAGGGACCTCCTGAAAACTCCACTTATAGAATCCTCTCCATAGAATCCTCTCCATGTATTTCACTGCCATGGATGTGGATTTACCAGGATTAGACATGGAGTTCAGACCTATCTATCTGACCAGTTTCTGGCCTTTCCCAACCTGGTCACATGAAACACCAGAAACAAAGGGAAAGCAAACCTTTCTCCTCCCACTGTCCCCATCCTGAATCTCCAGGGACACAATCCTGTCTGTGCCTATTTCTGGCTCCCATGGCAGACTGGCAGTGCTTTTTATGAACTTATGAGCTCCTGTCACTGAAAACTGCCACATGGCCACCTGCAAATTACTTCTACTTCAACTTTCCACTTGCCTGCAGAGAGATTTTGAGCTTGCCCCACCACCTCTGGGTTGGTTAAGATAGCCACTTTTACTCCACAGGTTCTCCCACGCCAAATTTATTCACAGTGCTTTTTTCTCTTTCTGCCTCAGTTATCCCTCTTCTCTGCAAGGAACAAAGCTGATGCATCTCAAATATATTTCTTGTTCTCTGGCTAAAGCTTTTGAATTTCTGTATCTCTATTATGATTTTACTGTCAGATGTTGAATTTTAGTGAATTCTCTTAGAAACTCACCTTGCTGAGAAGGAATATTCCTACTGCTTGAATCTGAAACTGGAGTAACTACAAAAATCTGTAGTGTTTTATACATTAATAGCAAACTATCTGAAATGTTGCATTTGTACTAGCTATAAAAACAAAATATATGTGAATAAATTCATCCAAGGAGGTGAAATATTTCTACCCTGAAAACAACAAAACACGGATAAAAGAAATTGAAGTGAATACAAGTAAATGGAAAGGTATTTCCATGGATTAGAAGAATTAATGGTGTTTAAATGGTTGTATTACCCAAAGCAATCTATAGATTTTATTTTTGGTATATAGGACATTAACACACTTTAAAAAGTAAAAACCACTAAATAATATACTTAGGAAATTATCACTTTCCCTTTCAGCTCATTCTCTCCACTTCATCCCACCTTCTTTCCAATTTTGGTAACCTGTTTATGATTTATTCTTCCTATATGACTTCAGATGTGTACTTTATTTTTTCCCTGTAATACAAAATATGCTTTGATTTTGTCTTAATAGTAGTGTAAATCACTGGTATTTCATAGCAATCTTCCTTATTGTTTTAAGTATATGTTATAGTTTATTCAACCAGTGTCCTATTTTGGCTGTTAGGTAGTTTGCAACATTTTGCAGTAGCAAATAATACTGTAATGAAAAACTTTGTGATGTGATTTCACATTTTAGCAGTGAATACTCAGGGAAAATGGTATAACTTTTAAATCTTTATTTCTGATTATGTCTTTTGGCGTTAAAAAGTGTTCTCATTTGTCTTGTGCAGTAGATGTTTTGCCTGAATTCTACCGTCTCATGTCATGGTCTAGATCTCTGCTTTCTTAATGTTTTCTTTTTATTTAGTGTATTTGTACCTGTCCCTTTACACTTGCCTTTTTGAATCACTATTTTAGGTATATCTCTCATATTAATAGAGTGACTGTCTTGCTAAACTATCCTATCTGAAAGTCCAGAGTCCTAGACCTCAGTTCTGGGCAAACTGGAATGGATGGTTACCCAATAATATTTATGCATAGACTTGAGTTTTGTAAATCCTTGAGCCCATTTAAATATCCTTTTCCTTTAGTATATAATTGATGTAACTGATAATGTTTGTTTTCAATATGTCATGTCATACTTCCTATGTCTTTTTTATATGTTGTGATTATCATTTTTCTTTAAAATTTTCTTTGGTACTTTGCAAAATGTTTTAATTTTTGTTCCTTGATCTTTTATACTTATTTCTCTGTATCATTTTCATTCTCTTAATTGTTTTCCTATCTTTTCCAGTGCTCTGTATCAAGTTTCATTTGAAACCATACTATCTTGGGCACCTTGTCTTTATTTCTAAGATGGTTTTTCTTTTTTAGAAAATTTATTTCTTGAGTTGATACACACTCATTTTTTTTCTTTTCAGACATTGTTGAAATTGTGAATGTAGGCATTGAAAAATATCTCCAAATGCTTGTTTGAAGATCTTTAATTCAGTTTGAAAATTTGTGCTATAATTTACTTCTATTTTGTGTTGTTTTTGGAGGGCAGAATTTTTGTCAGTCACCCCCCACCCCCATTTTTTTTAAATAAGAGCTTTTAATGGAGTCTGTCTAGGTTTTCTTATTTCTAATTACTTCACGTGTGCCGTGTATGTGTGTGTGTGTGTGTGCGTGTGTGGGGGGGCTATGCATGCATTTAGGTGCAGTTAAAAAAAAAGATGAACTTGTAGATGATGAGAAGTGAGGGGATAGGTTGAATACAGTGGCTTGTGGTTTCTTGTTATTTTGATATTCTTAATTTCCCCTTGTCACATCCTTCTTTCTCATTACTAGATGTATTCAAGGGACACCTCTTTCTTCCTCAGCCCAGAAGTAGTGCTTTCCAGAGAAAGCCACCTGTAATCCTTCTCTTTCAGTTCTCTTCTCTATAGCTGTTGCTATACCTCCAAATCCTAGACCCCCGGTCAGAATTTTTGTACTTAGTTTTGAACTTTCTCTTTCTCAGGATAATTATGTCTATTCTTTCTTTATGGTTTCCACTTCTCTCTGCTCTTTATCTCTGTCCCCATAGGTTGTGGCAGGAATTTCAGGGAGAGCTCTGTTGGAATTTGTATTTATTCCTCTCCTTTAGGAAATTTGAAGTTTGTGACATGCTTTTTCAAATAATGTTGGAAGCATAAGCCTTGTGTGGTCTCATTTGTATTCCTTGTTTTGACATACTTATATTTGAGTAGAAATTCAGATTCAGGTGATTCCCATTCTAGGACCAATTGGAATTCTTTTTTTTTTTTTAATAGTTTTCAATAGGTCTTACTGTATGTTCAGTCTTTTGACAAACTGATTAGGTCATGCTTATACTAATATGCACTTTTCTACTTTTTCATGATTCCCTTATTGATTTTGTATTTAATTGTGTACATTTTTATTTCCATGATTACTTATTGATAAATTTGTTGAGAATGGGAGTGAGTTTCTTAGGTATATTAGTATCTCAGTGCCTAGACTACCTGCTACTTACTGGATACTCTTGAGATAATTACTGAATTAATCTTTTATCTTGTTATATTCTTTTTCTTCTAAACCCTTTGTTTATTTACATGGTAGATGTTGAGAAAAACTCTTCAAGGGTCTGAGAGTGAAGAACTGGAAATAGCACCATCTGAGCTACCATCTTTGGTGCCATTTGGGGATGTGGTATGTATGATTAACCCTCAAAAACCCAGTGTAAATTATTTATGATTGGATATAAAGCATTATTGATGTTTATAATTTGGTAATCAAAGAGTGTGTGCATAAAATGATATTCTCTGAAAACATACTCATGAAGTTATTCTTTTTATGAGTCAGAGAAACATTATAATAGTTTCTGAAATTATGGAAATCATCCTGATTCACAGAAACAGTGATTTTTTTAATATTTATTTTTATTTGTACTCAATACATTTATTTTGTTTACTTACTTTTAAGTGGTGCTGAGGATCAAACCCAGGGCCTTGCATGTGCTAGGCAAGTGCTCTATCACTGAGCCACAATCCCAGCCCCAGAAACAGTGATTTTTATACTTAAGATTCCCAAATCCAGTTGTATCAGAATTACCTGGGATACTTTTTCAAATCATTGATTTGGGCATCATCTTAAGATCTGCTAAGTTGGAATCTCCTCCAGAAGATGGGCCTGGGAATCAGTGTTTTACTGAGCTTTTCTATTGATTTATATATTTATTGCCAGATTGACTTTTAGTTTGAAATTGACCCCACACCCCTTTCCTGTCCAAAAAGGTCCCACAGAAACAAAAGCTAACATAGTCATCAGACATACATACACTGGATCTGTTATTGAGGCAGAAAATCAGAAAAGTCTGTCATTCTGTTTTGGGTGGTTTAGAGTATAGGACATGAGAATCTATGCATATTTGGAACTGTGAAATATCATGGCATTCCTTTACAAGAATAATGAATACCTTTATTCTAATAGCACTATTAGAGAAGTTACTGGGTATAAGAATTTCCCTTGTCCCTCTTCTTTATTTCCTGTCATATACAACCTTTAATATAATATTTCTTCTAATTTTATTGTTTTCTGATACTAAACATGGTTAAATATACTTTAATAGTATATATTAGAATTAAAGTTTCCTATATTCATTTTGTATTTGATTTATGGTTAAAGCACAAAGCACAATTTTCTTTAACATTTAGAAAAATCTTTTAAAGTGAGAATGACTATTTCTTGATCTCTGGCGTGTTGTAGGCAATGAATGATTGTTGAATGAATTAAGTGGTTTTAGGATACTGAGTAAAAGAGCTTATTCAAAACAAAGTGTATTTCTTATTTTTAATGTGCAGTATGCTGTATTTTATCATTTTCACCTAATATAAACTAAAAACAATTCAAAGAATGATGATTAGATTTAAGTTTATAATGAAATATTCCTTTGCTTTGTGTTCTTGTTCCTGTAAGTTTATTGGGAACATAATCCTGCTCACTTTTTTTTCCCTCTCTGCTTCTTTCTAATGCTTTCCATTAACTAGATATTTTAAATGAGAAGTAATATTTCTAATGAGAAAAAAGTAATAAAGTGAACTTCATTCTTAAAATTTTAAATATAGTTCAGTGTGAAGTGGAAGATAAGTTAACTTTGTAAAACATGCATTTACTATCTGTGTTTTTGCTTTGATGGTTGTAGGTTGGCTGCCTGGCTGTTCATGTAAAGAACTGCAGAAATTTTGCACAGAGGAGTATCCTTTCTTTGGGTTTAAAACTCATAGTATGATTATATCTCATTGTTTTAGTTATCCACTGCTGCATTCCAAACCTCTCCAACACTTTTAGGGCTGTAAGACTTTAGAAGTTTTATTGTCAATAGTTATCTGTGCATCCACTTGAATGGTACCTCTGCTTCACAGTAGCATAGCTTGGGTAGCTGTAGTTACCTGGCAGTTCAAAAGGGCTGTGATATCTCAAGTACTATGTTCTGTTCGCATGATGGTGCTTTAGTGAGGATGACTGGAAGGTTAGGCTTAGTTGGGTTGCTGAAATTGTTGGAAGTCTCATGTACTTTTTTTTTGTGTGGTGCTTGAATTTTGCATATGTCAGGTATACATATGTCAGTGTTTTACTGAGCTTTTCAAGTAATACTGAACTGTATTAGTTGAATTTTTCAAAACTTCTCTTTATATAAAAAGAAACACCAAGTCTCCATAATGAGTGGTTTTATGCCATAAGTTTAAAAATAAGCATTCAGTTTATTTAAGGGACTGATATAAAATAAATCTTTTAAAAATATTTAAAGGAAGCATATGTATTACTTACGAATTAGTATTATATCCAAGAAAAACTTTCATTCTTTCTGTGTGGTCCATCATGCTTATTTTTTTCCTATACTAATTTTGATTTTAAAATGTTAATATTTTTATCTTGATTACTAAGATTTTAGTATTCTATTAATTTTACACCCTAGGTGAATGCCATTTTAGTCCCAGTCCTAGTCATGTCCATTGCCAACAGTAATCATAAGGCCAGCTCAGATTCAAGGACAGAGAAGGTAAACTCCACTTTTTATGTGGAAGTGACAAAAGAATTTTGAACATCTATAATCTATTCAAATCATCATGCAAGTTAAAGGAAAAGATATTATCTAGGATGTAATACTAATTTGTTTGAAAGTAGTATATATGCTTCCCTCAAATATTTTTAAAGGATTTATTTTATACCAGTCCCTTAAATAAACTGAATGCTTATTTTTAGACTTATGACATAAAACCATTCATTATGGAGACTTTGGTGTTTCTTTTTATATAAAGAGAACTTTTAAAAACATTTTGTGTGGAGATTTGTAAAAGATAATTAAATCATGAAAAAAAATTGTTTTAAAGCCTGGAGTACTATGAAAGATAATAAAACAGATCAGTACAGTATAAATAGAGTGTATAGTAAGGTGAACTGGACAATAGAACACTTTGCTCCAAATTCTGTTGCCTTAAAATTAAAATAATTCTTCCCAAGTGACAATTTTCTGACTATATAATTTTTCTACATAATTATGTTGTTATATATATTACATATACCTGGAAGTTAATATCTAGAAAATTTTGCAAAGAAATTATGATGTATATCATATTGTATCTATCAGTGATGGGCAAAATATTATTTTAAGATTTCTTTTCTCTTTTTAAATATACTTTACAATTACCTTGTTCACTTGGTTGATTTATTTTTTTTAGGACTTAGCCTGAATTCTATAATGAATTAATTTTATAATGTGTATTTGTTCAATTACAATAAAAATTTATTTCCTAAACATTCTATTTTCAGTCACTTCACAACCTTTCATCGATTTGTTCATTCGCATCTCTGTAAACAACATTATGAAATCTACAAAGCGTCATATCTTACTGCTTAGAAGTAGTGAAAAGAGCACTGCAGTTCGGTTTGATGAAATTAAGTATTTTTCCGTGCAGGTAAAATTATAATTCTCTTCAGGATATAATATTTCTTTACAGTTTCAAATATTCTACTCTAATTATACCTTTTTTAATAGATAGGAAAGAAAGATAAGTAGTGACTTTTTATTTGGTATTTACAGTATTCTATTTCTGTACTGTGGTCTATAATGGTATTTTTAAATAAACAGATTGCTGGGAAATACATAATTTAGTGGATTCTTTTTTGAGATGTTATAGTCTGTGATTTTGAGTGTTTATTATGTTTTTTCTGTAGTTTGGTTTTCCTTTTTCATCTACCTCTTCTACCCTTTTTTATTTTTATCTACTTTCCTTCTTTTCTGATTTCCCCTTATATAAACTCTAAATTATGTTTTCACAGATTAACATATTCAGTCTTTAAAAACAACTCCAAAAGATAGATTTGTAAATCTGTCACACACATGGAGATAGACACAGAGATGTACATATACATTCTCTTATTTTATCATCCTTATTTTACAGGTGAGGTAACTGAAGTGCTGTGTGGTTAAAGAACTTTGTTAAGGTCATAGAGCTTATATGTGGTGAGCTGTAATATATGCACTCTGACTCCAGACCACCCATCATTAAAGTGCTTCTCACACCAGGACTTGCTGTGTTTCTATTTATAGTTAAACAGATTCTTAGATTGTAAAATGTATCTCAAACCTTTTTTTTTTTTGAATAGTGACACTATTTCATAGTCTTGTAGGATTCATTGATTAAAGCCCAATTATTTCTTAATAGTTTTATTATATTAGTTGAATTTTAGCAAAATTCTAAAGCATTTCCTTTATACACCATGTGTTTTTACAAAGTTTGAATGTTGGATATGAATGGAAAAATAAAAGCAACAAATAAGACAGTTTTGCTTCAGGCAGTTCATATGGTTTCTTTTATTTTGCAAATAGCTTTCCTAAATTGATAGGCAAGTTCTCAAAAACACCAGGCATGGTGGAGCATTTTTTTAGAAAGAAACTGTGCTACTGTCAGGTATGTGAAGGTTCAGTGGGGGAGGGGAAGCTCTCCTTCTGTGAACCAAAAGAAAAAATTTTACTGATTTCAAGGACTGCACATTCCACCATCTGGCAAATACATAAGGAAGCTATCATCCTGCATAGCTGCAGTAACAGAGAAGAGATTTCCAGCACTTTCCTGTGTATTCAGTGAGAGCTGGGGTGGGACTTTGTTGTCTAGGCTTTCTGCATGAGAGATGAGAAGTCCCTACAGAGAGAGAGTAGGGGAGAATGTGGAGAGGAGAGAGGAAGAGAGAGTCTAAGACTCAACAACCTCTGATTTTCTTTTCACTGGGTTGGTGAGCACCAGCCCTGAAGGAAGTCATTGAGCTGGGAGAATGGACCTGTTGGAGGCTCTGGGCAGTAGGAGTGAGATTGATTGTCATGCAGAGGAAGATGGAGCATCTTTTCTTTTGAAATTAGCAGTCTGATCTTTGCTTTGTGATAAGGGTTCAGTTTGTATGGATGTGGAATGAAATTGGGAATGGGTGTGCTTTGATTGGGTTTGGTGGAAAGCATGCCTGCCACACTCCACCTAACCCCAGACCTGTTGGGCAGCTACCTTCCCCATGCTCAGAGGTATTTGGAGGATTTGTTGGGGTAACTGAGACCCTAGCCATCCCCTGTTACCCCCATAAAACAAATGGAGGCTCTTGAGATATGGAATGCAGCACAATCAGGATCAATCTTCAGGTGAGTGTGTTGGTCAGAAGTTCTGCTATAGCCATGCCCTGTCCCTAGGCCTACTGAGGATGAATTTAGTTTTGCAGTGAATAGCATACTCTTAGAACTTTCTGTTGTTAAGGAGGAGTGGAGCTCACCATACAAACTCCCCTAATAAATTTTGTCTATTTGGGTTGGAATTAATGAGGAACAAACTCTGATTGTATCCTACACACCTACCTGTAGCTGGTGGATTATAAAATGTAGCCCTGGAAAAAAGGGCTTAATTTTAATTACATTTTAATTGCTTCAGTAAGGAGAAATTTTAATCTTTTTTTGTTTGTTTTCTGAGTTCATTTTTTTTGTAAATGGTTTTGATCTATTTTCTCTCATTTGTTTTTCATATTTACATCTAATTTTATGTATATTTTTAATTAATTGACTCTTTTCAGTATTTCTTTTCTTTCTCAACTTTATTTCTATCCCATCCTTCCTCTCCACTTGCTCCTCTCCTCTTCCTTTCCCTTCCCTTCCCTTCTTTTCCCTTCCCTTTCTTTTCCCTTGCTTCCTAAGATGTAATTAAGATTTACAGGCCTTGCCAGGCATAGTGGCACATTCCTGTAATCCCAGAGGCTTGGGAGGCTGAGGCAGGAGGATGATGAGTTCAAAGCCAGCCTCAGCAACTTAGTGAGTCCCTGTCTCTAAATAAAGTATTTTAAAATGGGGTGCTGGAAATGTTTCCCGACGATTAAACACACCTGAGTTCAATCCCTGGTCCCCTTTCCCCCTCAAAAAGATTTATTGGTCTTGAGGAAGGACTAGAGAATATAGGTTAATAGCATAGATAACCTATTCAGTTAAATAATGCCATAAAAGTTCCCAAAATTTGGAAATGAGATGGACATTCATATATGGAGACATTTAGAACCCCAAATAGTCAAGACTTGAAAGAAACCTCTCTATATTATAGTAGGGTTAAAATGCCAAAAATTCAGAACAAAGAAGGAACTTTAAAAGCTGCAAGAGAGAAATGCCAAGGCATCAATGGAGACAAACACATCAGACTAACAGGTTTTTCAGAACTCTAAAAAACAGGAGACCATGGAACTATGCATATCATACCATGTAAGGAAGCAACTGCCAATCCAGATTACTATATCCTACAAAGTTATCCTTCAGGATATAAGGAAATATAAAAACCTTCCAAGATAAACATGAACTAAAAATAAAAAATTCATGACCACTAAAACAGCATTGAAGAAGATACTTAAAGGAATCCTGCTCACTCATCCAAGTGAGCATGGAAAGAATAAATATCATTAGCAGAGTAGATAAGCATGAGAATTAGGAAAAAATAAAGCATTAGAAATAATATGACAGGAAGTATACATACCTCTCTGTAATAACACTGTAAATGGTCTTGATTCTCCAATTAAAAGATATATACTGTCTTATTGGATTAAAAAATAAAACTCAACTGTATGTTGTCTGTTTACACACACCTCACCAGGAAAGTTACTTTCAGACTGAAATTGAAAGGATGGAAAATTATATTCCATGCAAATGAAATCTGGAAGCAAGTGGGGGTAGCTTTTTTTTATCATAAAAAGCAAACTTCAAGCCAAAATTAAAAGAGCCAAAGATTACTATATTATTGATAAAAAGAACCATCCAACAAGAAGATATAACAATTATAAATATTTGTGCCCCAAACGTTGGTACGATTTCATAAAACAAACACTAATCAACATAAAGGAGCATATAGATCCTAATTAAATATATTACTCTCAGTAATGGTCATTCAGACTAAAAATTTTAAAAAAAAGACACTGTAGAGTTAAAGCAACACCTTAGATCAAATTTACTTAACAGACATCCTCAGAATATTTCATCTAACAACAACTGAATATACCCTTTTCTCAACTGCTCACAGAACTTTCTCCAAAATAGATCATATAATAGGCTACAAAGCAAGTTTTAGCAAATATAGAAAAAAAGAATTCCTTGCTTCTTATCAGATCATAATGTAATTAAATTAGAAATCAACAGTAATAAAAGCTACAGAAACTACAAAAACATGGAGATTGAATTATTGTTCAAACTTTTGAATTATGACTGACAGGGTCTTCAAAGAAATCAGGGGAAAAATTAAAAAACTCTTATAATCAAATGGGAATGGAACCACCATTTTGACCCAGCTATTCCTCTTCTTGGACTATACCTAAAAGACCTAAAAACAGCATGCTACAGGGACACAGCCATATCAATGTTTATAGCAGCACAATTCACAATAGCTAAACTGTGGAGCCAACCTAGATATCCTTCAGTGGATGAATGGATAAAAAAAAATGTGACATTTATACACAATGGAATATTACTCAGCAATAAAAAAATAAGATCATGGCATTTGCAGGGAAATGGATAGCATTAGAAAAGATTATGCTAAGTGAAGTTAGCCAATCCCCCCAGAACAAATGCCAAATGTCTTCTCTAATATAAGGAGGGTGACTCAAAATGGGGTTGGGAGGGAGAACAAGGGAGGAAGATTACCTCTAGATAGGGAATAGGGATGGGAGGGAAAGGAGGTAGAAGGGGAATAGCATGGATTGTGAAAGGAGACCCTCATCATTATACAAAATACATGTATGAAGATGTGAATTTGGTGTCAACATACTTTCTATATAATCAGAGATATGATAAATTATGATATAATAGTGTATTAAGAATTGTAATGCAAAAGTAAAAAATATTTAAAAAACCAAATGAGAATAGAATCACAATATAGAAGAATCCGTCGGGTATAGTAAAGGCATTTCTAAGAGGGAAGTTCTAAGAGGGAGTGCCTACATAAAAACAAAACAGATATAAAATGAATGACCTAATGCTGTACCTCAAGAGTCTTCGAAAAATGAGACCAATTCCAAACCAGTACAAAGAAAGAATTAAGATCAGAGATGAAATTATTGAAGTAGAGAATTGAAGAATAGCATAAACAATAAATGAAAAAAAAGAGTTGTTTCTTTGAAAAGGTAAAAAGATTGATAAAGAGAAGACCTAAACTAATAAAATTAAAAATGGAAAAGGAGATATTATAACAGACACCACTGAAATCTAGAGGATCATTAGGGACTGTTTTGATAAACTTACATGCCAATAAAATGGAAAATCTCTGAGAAATGGTTGCATTTCTAGACATATATTTCATTTCAAAATTGAAGCAAGAGAACATAGAAAACAAACAGACCAACAAGCAATGAGATTGAAGCAGTAATAAAAAGTCTCCCATCAAAGAAAAAAAAAAACCCAAGACCAGATGGA